CCATATGTAAAACAACGCTTTGAACGGGGCCTTGACATCAACTTCATACACTAAAAAAAACAAATTCGCACATTAAAAAAAATTTTTATTCACTAAAAGAAAAAAACAAAAAAAAATTCGCACAATAAAAATTTTTTTGGTTATGTCATCTTATCATAAAAATAAAATTTTACCTTCTTATTTCTCTTTACTTTGAAAGAGCATGCAAGGTAATGATTCATCTTGCGGTATGACGACTGCATTTAACATGTCTTCATCGAACACCCATTTCACTCCCTTAAAAGCAAAATATTACACGTTTCATGATGTCATCTTATCGCAAACACACACGTGTAAAAATATAATCTCATCTTACCCTCACAATCCCAGCTCCCCAGCTCCCGGCCATTTACTCGACAGTCATGCCCAAATATTTCATTCTTACTTGCTTACTTTTTCCGTTTATTTCATCTATTACTTTACTGGCCATGTGCCAATACTATGAAAAAATTTGTTTTTCTGAGGAGGAGACAGTGATGAATTGGCCGCGCTCACAACAAACTGATAGTGTGAAATCCTCGGAAAAAATCCCGCGGTTGTCGGTCGGTAAAATAAGGAGTAAATGGCAAATGGCCGACGCGCGCTTGCAAACCGCTTTTGTCCCATTAAACTAGTGCTCAGGCGCTCACGCGGTTTTTGTGACGTCATCAGAATGGAATGCAAAAATACGCCATTCTGATTGGTGCATTTGTACCACGTGATCAAAATACTCGATTCTGATTGGTTACACGCTATACCGCCACACTATTATTACTGGCTTTTTAAAGTGGCTCTTGACTTCATGCACCTCTTGCTCATCTTGATCGACAACGTTTTTCAACTGATTTTCAGTGAGCTCAGATGACTTGCAAATTTCAACCACTTGATTCAAATCCAGATACTTATCTCTCGAAAGACGTTTCCTGACTACGTTACTTCAGATGCCACACACAATACAATCCCGTATTAACTAATTATTCAATTCTCCAAACTCAGTTTCTTGGCAGCTTGCACAGTTCTGTTACAAAGGCGTCAATTCCTTTGATCGCTCCTTGCACCCTCCTGTTGAACAGATGTAGCTTGTAGTTCACGTTCTTTTTGGTGTAAAGTATTCCTCAAACTTGCTAATCACTACTTCTATCTTCACCCACTCTTCACTGAGACGAAACGTATTGAAGATTTCCAATGCCTCTACTCCAGCAACTGTTAGCAAGGTAGAACACTGGTGTTGTTGTGGTTTCTTATGGAAGCCTGTTGCATTCAGATACAGCCGAAATTGCTGGAGCCATTGTCTCCAATTTTCTGCAACATTCCCTTTGAATGTTAGCGGCTTTGGTGGTGGAAGTCGGTTCATTTCATCCTTATCCTGACACCATGTTATGTTCTCGAACTCACTCGCAAGCCTGTGAATGTAATCCAAGATGGCTGTTCTGTACAACAACTAATTTAGATTTGCGGTGATTTCGCCAACGTCACGTTCGCCAACGTCTTTGGTCGCTTCGCCAATGCGATAAGTCGCTTGGCCAACGTCCCACTGGTCACTTCGCCAACGCCAAATATCTAGTAATAACTTAGTAATAGCTTAGTAAAAAGGGTGCTTACTGATGCTTCGGATGTAATGCTGATACTTGGGTCAGAACATTTTTAAGTTAATGCTAGTTTCGCTTGGCTGACTTCCAAACAATTTGCATATTTTTGACAGATCCAGAAAAAGCCGGCGTGTGAGCACTAACATCGCGGTAATTTAAAACTGTTGAATAACAAACTCCGATGGCTTCCAAATGTGTTCCAAAAATGTATAGCTCAAAATTTTACTTGAAAAATGCGTTACGATGTGAATTAACGAGTTACCATTTTCAGAAACAACCAGAGTTTGTTTTCCAGCCTTCAAAACGAGTCAGAAATAAAATATAACAAGTATAATATCAACAACATTTTAATTACAATACGTACTTTTATAAATATTTACAAATGCAAAATATTTTAGTGGAAAACCTATTTACAAAACCTTCTGATTCACAAAATATTTTCAATGCAAAACTTATTTACAAAACCTTCTGGTTCAAAAAAATGCCTCTAGTCAAAACCTATTTACAAAACCTTCTGATTCACAAAATATTTTCAATGCAAAACCTATTTACAAAACCTTCTGATTCAAAAAAATGCTTTAGTCAAAACCTATTTACAAAACCTTCTGATTCTCAGCTTACTTCACGCTAGTTCAGTTCGTTCATGATCAGTTAGAGCGCGCTGGTCCATTCAAACACGAGCACATCCTGAGTAGTTGAGCAGCGGTTTTCTCGTTGTTCTCATACTTCTCCCAACTTGCGAATAGTTTTGCCTGAATGTTTCTTGTTGTACGTCGTTGAATTTGTTTCAGTTTGTTGTCAGAGACCAGCCTGATTGTAATAGCTGTGAGTTTTGCCTCACGATCAAGTAACTCAATCAAAAGGTACAAGGGCAAACTGCATTGTCCTCCAGCTCTGCGATTGAGGGCGTTATGCCAGCCTTCCAGGTCGTTATTTGTGCGGACGGGCTTCTTGTACACGCACCAGTTTCTTGGGGTGAATACTTCACTCTCAATCCACTGTCGTTGGATGTACTGGACAAGTCTCCCCAGCTGGTCGGTTTGGGCCTGCTCCTCAAGTAGGTCGAACATCAGTTGGATTTCCGGATACGGGAGGAACGGGTGGGCCATTAGCTTCCTGATGTACTTGTAAACGGAATTGTCGTCCATGTACGCCCTTTGGAGGCCAAGCTCTTGTACCTTAAAGTAAAAAATGGTAAAAAAGGTGTAAATAAAGTACAGTAAAAACCCGCGACCCACAGTTTAGACGATAATGGATTTTAAGTAAGTTCATTTTAAGTAAGTTCACTGTCAGATGATATAAGAAACTAAATAACATTGGTCACGGTTCAGTTTTGGTCAGTGTAATGCCTGAAAATTTAGTGTTGTAGTTAAATTTAGTTGTTTACTGGATGTAATTTGCCAAGAAAAAAAAAAACACGCAATACACACCTTCCTTCGGACGGCCTGTGTCCAGTGAAAGACACTTCCCTGAATTTTTACAGTGGGGAGCACTTCTCTGATGGCCGACCAAATTGCCTTCTCAAAGTCGACGGTGACCTGCCCGACTGAGAGCTGGGGCATTAGGTGGACTAGATTCTGGAGCACCTGGAAATAAAAGAACAACCCAGTAAGTCATTTTTCTTACAACCATTCTGAAATTCAGAAGAAATTCAATGTGTGTAGAAAGCGTAAAAAGAAAATGTTATTAATGTGTTCTTTTCCAATATGAATTTTAAAAGTGTTTAATTATCTTCTCTTATATACTTCAGATTTAATATATCAGAATAGAGAAAACAAGATCAAGGCGAAAAAGCGGCAGAAAGCGGCCACGCGAAAAAGAAAACGGGGACTGATCCTTCTCTATGGCAATGAATGTTAACATACCTTTTTATAGTCCTTTGCCTTCTTGCTGGACATCAGTACATAAGCCAGTGGTACTTGCTTGTCGTACTCCCCTGATCGGACAAACGCGTTTACCGTCAACAGCTGCTTGAACGGGTGGCGAACAAGCTTAAAGGTTCCATCAACGTACCATGTCTTAGCACGGGCGAGAATGGTGAGTTGCTCCTGTCTTGCAAATAGTAGGTGGCGCCTATCCTTTACTTCGATGTCAGCGCGGAGGAAGCCGTCAGGGATACAGTCATCAACCAACTTGAAGTCAAGATCTCTTGGGTGTTCTGGACGTAGTTTCTGGCGTAGACGGTTGGCTGTTCGCGCGATGTACTCAGCTTTGGGTAGGGCTGCGCACGGGGCTTCAGCGAGCTCTTCCAGGAGGACCTATCAATAACAATAACATTAACACTTAGTTGAGTTTTTTTTTACTTTTAGGAGATGTCTTCTGTTAAGTGTAGGTCTAATTAGGCCAAGTAAAAAAAAAAGAAATGTTTCTCGTCCAGATTTTTATATAAAAAAGGGAGAGCGTAATGGTTTGAGTTTTTTTTTACTTTTAGGAGATGTCCTCTGTTAGGTGTAAGATAAGCAACAACAGTTGTATAAAAGAGAAATTAGATCCTCCATCAACTTATAATCCTGGCCCAGCTCTCTACTTTTTAGAGTATCAGAGTATATATAAGTAAATATAACTTACCGGTGTCACACATTCGATGGTTCCAGCGAAAACATCCATCGCACTGAACCGCTTGCTGCCGAGGCTGTACTAGTTCGTGAGAAACAATACAGTTTAAAATCTGCGCAGTAGCCATCCTGATATTAATAGTATTCCGAGATAAAGGTTTCCGAGATAATTCGTTATGAGTCGTAGAGTGTCGTAATCGTATGATTGAAATGAACATTCTTCATCCCTGTGGACCTCAGGGATGGCACATTCTCCTTGTTGTCCTGCACCTCAAACCTTCGCCTAGATCGTGGGCAACTTCTGGAAGCTCATGCCGTCTCCTGGTCTTCATCACTGCCCTCATCCCATAGGGACAAGCCTTTATTGACAGTACACTGCTTCTCCACCACTCTGTCTAGGATGTAATTTTTGATTTCCTTGGCAGAAAGATCATCTTTAAAGGTGTTGCCTGCTGTGGTCCGCTGGCATTTTCCTGCAAACTCCTTGGGATGATGCATGAGGGTACCTATGGCCATAATCTGGGCACAGATCATTAACATTGGGCCAGCAGTGTTGAAAGTGTCTTGGATGTTCTGCTCCAGGTGTGGGTCTGCATGGATTGTTCTCAATGCATCTACTATGTCTTGTTTTGTGGTTGGCTCACTGGTCGATTTATCTATGTTATTCAGAGGGCACTGAGAATCATGGAGAGGTTTCAAACAGGATGCCAGATCTTAAATGAACTCGTGAGTGTACATGGTACTGCTGAATTGCTCTATAACAGGAAGGTTATCCTTTACCGTCTGAGCCATTTCTGACATAACAATGTTTGGCCTCCTCGGCCACTCGCACTTGAAGTCATGCAATCTGTTAAAAACGGCATAGTCAGAGAGGTTCTGAAGTGCAGGCCCATAGTTTAGCATAAAACCTCTCGGAAAGTGCCAGTTGTACTGGGAACTGTGTCTCGTTCAACTACAAAAATGTGCACCAAAACATTGTTGAGTTGTTCAACTACTTCCCTGCTATGCTTATGTACTTCACTGTTCAGCATCAACTAACATGTTATACAGACAAAAGCAACAATTAATGCAATACCCTCTATGGTGTACACAACTGTGTCATGTCAACAGGAAAATGTGACACAGATGAGTACCCAAAATGTAAGGCACAATGCAGTCAAATCAAGCAGTTGGATTTCAGTTGTCTACCTGTGTGCAGCATGAATTCACGCATTAGACAATTTGCCGCAATCATTTGAACATTTAAGCGGACCCTGTTGTGACCAAATCACGTCAAGAAATGCTAACCGACAATGAATACAACATCAATAGCTTAAGAGCCCTCGACAGTGTAAATACTTCAAGAACATGAACAGCAAAACATAGATGAAGTATTTATCTGGAGTGGAATACCCCTGTGACAGTTCTAACATGGCAGAGGTAAAACAGTCACATATCTAAGACACCTTTCCCATTTAGGGCCCAAAACATGACTGCATAAAATTGACAATACTTAGATTCCCCACTCTAAGTGATACTGTAAACGTACTTGGCACCATTGCACTGGCAGTAATCTGTGGTAGACAAGAAGAAAGTCGTGTTAAAAACACATTGCATTGCACGATTACCTCAAAGGAATTTTCAATCATGAATAAAACAACCTAAGACAAGGGAATGATCCTTACCAATTAGAGAACAATAATTGCTGAGTTCCTAGTAGAACTAGAATCACTGAAGAATGATATCTGTGGAACAAAACATAAAAAGAGCATTAAAGCAATCAGGCTGTAAATAAATGGAAAAGAAACAAAAAACCAGAACAAACTGAAATTTACTTTTCCATGTAAAAAGAGAGCAGAGTTCTGAAAAGAACTGTTTTTCAACAAAATTTGACCAGTGTGTGAAAAAAAGGCACCAAACAAACCTCCAACTGGACAGAAGTTCAACTGACAACAGCTACTTGCAACTGAGAAAGTCCACCAAAAATGCCACTATTTGTATCTGCGCCGCAGATTAAAATGCATATTAAATTACACGTGATTTCTGAGCTATTTTTTCAACTTGTTTCTTAAAGACAAATAATTGAGAAAACATGCTGTAGAATCTGTTTGAAAGCTTAAAAACTTACTAGACACTTTTATTTAATAAGATCTCGTGATTATGAAAAGAAAGGAAGAAAAAAGTTTTCATTCTGACATTGATTTTAATGATTGGATCGCTGTCTTTTTACCTTTCTCATAATTCTCCTGAAATCAAAATACCTTACTCTGCAATTGCCTATAAGCCCTTCTTTGGATTCTGGTCAGCTTCTGGTCAGCTTCTGGTCAGCTTCTGGTCAGCTTCTGGTCAGCTTCTGGTCAGCTTCTGGTCAGCTTCTGGTCAGCTTCTGGTCAGCTTCTGGTCAGCTTCTGGTCAGCTTCTGGTCAGCTTCTGGTCAGCTTCTGGTCAGCTTCTGGTCAGCTTCTGGTCAGAAACTAATCATATTTGTATGGCCACCGATTTTTCTTTCTGGTGGAGCAGCTCTATTAGTTTTTAGAACAGAAGATGCCTTCCCATTGCTCTTCTTTTAAGTGCGTGATGCCAACCTGGAAATGTAAAAATTACTGCAAAACATAAGAGACGAGAGAGAAATACATATGATGTTTCTGCATACTTTAGATGTATGAGTTACTGTTTAATTTACCATTCAATTTTCAAAATAAAACTACCTTCGCTGTTGTTGTTAGTCCTTGTAGGCTGGCTGTAAAAACGGCAGTCTTTGGGCATGAATGCAAGGGACTGGACCCAATGATTTTCACTTGTGGAGGGCTGGTGATGTAGTGTTTTCTTTCAACAACTCGAACATGGCTGGAATTTCATGGCTCAGAAGGCAGGGCAACATCACCAACTTGCAGAGGTACTTGTCTCTCTGATAAAGGACTTGAAGCCCCAATTCTTGAATCTATATAGAAACAAACAGATATATAACATGTTATACATATCATAATCATAACATTGTGCATTAACTTTATGGAACAGCATACCTTTCAAAACCAACCTTTTGCCAAACTGCCTGGGTCCAGTGGAACTTGCAGCTCAGAAGTTGTACTGTGGGCAGCACATACCTCTGAGGTACCCACATAGCTGCCTCAAAATTCAATGTAACTTGTTTCATTGCTAAAGGGGCCAGAAGGGCATTCAGGATTTAATTAAGTACTTAAAGAAAACCAACAATGATATATTAGCTAATTTCTAACTTTTCTATTAATTTTGCTAATAACATTCATACCTTTTTATAGACTTCTTTTATGGAAAACCAGGCGTGACAAAAGTGTTCAAAAGTAAAATATAGGTTGTATCATAAAATATGTGCTGTTCTTTTAATACATGGGTTAAAAATTGCATATATGGTTTATAGTGAGGTAATTATAGGTTTCTAATGAGGCTACATATTTGTACCTTGAAATACAACCTGAAATATATAGGTTCTAATCATGGATTTGTCTGCTTTTCTGGAAAATCTTTGGAACAAGGCCAATGTGCACATTACAAAGATACTCTGTGTAGAGACAACACCAAGTTGAAATAAGTATCAACTATCATGGAGGCTGCCTATATTGGTAATTTCTTTAATAGAATCCCTGGTATTACCTCGCAGGCCTGTTGGCACTTACATGACACTGACTTTGAAGTAATTGAGCATATACACAGAAGGCTCCGGGACAGTCTTTATTAACTGAACCATCTTATCAGTCAAGCATGCGGAGCATCGAGTGCCATCAATGTAGACAGACAAGATGATTTTTGTTGACTCGTGACGGTGGTGTGATCAGTCTATGAAGCATATTCAATTAACATTTCCGCAAATATTGGAACAATCACCAAGCTACTGTTGGTTGTCAGCTCAAAATGTTACACAGTCATGGAAGGCCAAGGTTTGGTATCACTGGAGCTAGATGGATGCACTTCAACAGAGGCACTACAGTCAGAGAGCAATAGCAAAAACAATGAGAGTCTCGTATCGTACTATTTTGAGGTGTCAGCATAAATTAGGAATGGCAGTAGGTGAGCAGTTTAGCTGAGTTTCAGATGTGGAATTAGACAAATTCATATCAAATATTTTTCAGATAATTCCCGATGCTGGTAAGGTTATGATTATGGGAGTGGGGGGGCTGCACATTCATAAAGATACATGATTCGTGAGTCAATCCAGTGCGTAGATCCAGTAAGTCGAACACTCCAAAGAGCAGCTGCAGTTGTTAGATGTGTTTATAACATGCCTTGCCCAATTTCCTATGCTGGGTATTGTGTATCAGTATCGACCATGGACACAGGGGGAAGGAGTTCATTTATTTGCCTAAGTGTAACCTGTATTGTTTAGGTGGCTCCCTTGTGTATCAACAAAAGAATGTTGCTTGCTGACATGAGTCACAAAATAGAGCTGAATTTTCTTTTTTTTGTAATTTTGCATAGGTGAATCTGGGGTAGGGATCTGGGTCAGGATTGAGAATGATTATGTTTGAGAACAGGGCCTCCCCTTTTTTAGGGTCTGGATCAGTGAGACCTCTAATTAATTGAAGGTCTGGATCTACCAGTGTTTTCGTTCATGAAATTCACCCCTTGAGGGTATCAAGATAGATTTGATTACTTATTTACGATTTTTCAACCATTATGTAGAAACCATAGCTATGGCAACACAACATTCCCAAAAATAGTTTGCAAAAATTGACCTTTATTATCTAACATTTCCAGTTTCCTTTGGTGGAAATTTTAAAACACTGTTACCTTGCAGAAATTGCAAGGCAAATGTTTACATGGTCAGCAAATCAGAATGCAGGATTTACTTTAATTCTCCCACTGGCAGCTTCATCTACATAATAAGCATCCTTTACATGCATGACATGTAATGGGTAGTACATGGCATGAGAAACTGCAGTTGAAACCATTTGTCATAAAAGCTTAAGATCTTAGAAAATCATCGATCAACATTAAGCTCAATATGGGAAAAGACTCCCAAAACACTTAAGACAACTTTTTCTGGTTGCCAAAGTAACAGTATTATTGCTATTCTTTTCTCTTCAGGCACATTGATGGGAACCTCAAACTGATAAATTGGTCATTTGTTGTCCATGGAGGAATTGATGGTGGTGTACCTGAGCTGTGCAGATAAAAATAGAGCAGACACAGTGTTACGACTTTTCCAAGGAGAAGTAGAGGAATTTGGCTTGCCTTCAAGGGTCTGCTCAGACCATGGAGTTAAAAATGTTCATGTAGCGAGATACATACTAAGCGCCTATAATTATGAAAATGGGAGGATGCTCACTGGAATATCTATACATAGTCAGACTCTAGTATTAAAAAAGGTATATTACTGGGGGTGGTGTGTGCTGAAACCATGATTGTGGTGACTTTTTATGTAACTTGTTTGAATTGTACCCAAAATGCCACCATTCAAAAATGATTCAGCAAGTACTAGATAACTTTAGTCTTTATTCAGGCATCCCACCAAAACACGACAAATTGCTTTCAAACAAGATAAAGGCTAGCTTTTAATACATAAAAACTTCTTGCCTGATAATAGGTACAAAATGCTGTTTCTTTTTTTCTACATGGTTGCATTTTTCAACAACCGTTTCATAAAGCAAAATATCTTGTATAGCAAAATATCAAAAACTGTAACTTAGTAATGATTATGTTAATGTTAATATTAAAATCTTCTAATTAAACTTTACCCTTGGTTATAAGCTTGGTGCTTACAGTTGATTGCAATGTTCATTGAGGTCATAAATGACTGATAGTCGTTATTTAAGAGAAGTTGGTTCACTGTTGAAAAATAGGACTTATGGTCAGGAAGTGAAGAATTGCAAAAGCTGATCTTAATAAGTCCATGGCTTGGGAGGTATGGACTGCCACAACTGAACTGTAAAAGGTCTTGCAACCTTGGTAGCTGTACAAAAAGCTCTGTGGCAGCTTCTGCTGGTCCATTATGTTTGCCTGCTGAAACAAATGACAGGATTCAACTCCATCTATGTTACAAGATAGCAACCCTAGCAGTGGGGAGAAGAGAATGGGCCTTTTACAACTTGAGTTGAGATGGTATTGTTTTCTGTTCACATATATTTTTGTTCTTTTGGTATTAGGGAGCTTGACAAATTGTTTTTAAGGGGTGGGGCACCCCTCTATCCAATCATAACTGCTATGTATAGCATCCCATTCCTAACTTTTATGGATCCTCCCCTGAAAAATGTATTAACACTAATGATAAACAGAAATTCCGAAGAGAACGCTCTTAACAAACTCAGATGAATTAATGTGATCCGGAAAATCAATTTCAAACTAACTGTGTTGTTAGGTGGCATCACTAGTAGCTATACATCCGTAGTGTCTATCAAACAATCTCATGTGTGCAATTTTTTATTTCAAGTCAAGTTGTCATCATGTCCAAGGCCTGTTGCACATCATACAACCTCGTATTTAAACTAAAAATAGTTGCCAAAGCAGAAGCTGTTGAAAATAACTCTGAAATGGCATCAGTGAGTTAATGGTCTGTCACTGTAGGAAAGATCAAGGGAACCTTTTTAATGGCAAGATTAAATTGTCAGTGAAATGGAAGACAATGGGATGCTTCATGCCAAAGTATCTGGAGCTTGATAAAAGAATACTGGAATGGTTAACAGAGCAGAGAAGCCAAGGTAAGTTTTTTGTCAAACATCGATTTTGTATTTTAAAACAACAGAAACATGATCACGAAGTGAATCAATCAACTGATTGCAAAATGAATGTGAGTTGAATATATGACTCTCCAAACTATTGTAGTATCATGTGACAACATTGTGTAAGGAAGATTCTCATCGGCCAATTTTCACAAGTGTCCAAACAAAATCAAGATGTGTTCAATTTTTATCCTTTTGATTGTTTGGTAACCTTCTCACTTCATTTTGTATTGGAATAGCTGTTAATGGATTGATGCTATGGTTAAAGGCAAAAGAATTCAGCGAGGATCCTGAGTTTAAAGTGCCCTTCCGCTGGTACCAGAAGTGAAAGTGCCGAGATTCTGTCAGCCTTTAGACCAAACCAACACTCGTTCAGCATCTTCTAGAAGATTTGGTGCAGCAAACAGTCAAGTTCCATTGATTTGTAATCACATCCCATCAGCGTCACAGTTATTCCCTATCAAGAATCCTCTATTCTCATAACCTTAATGTTTGATTCAGGAGTGATATTGAAAGGAGAAATAAGATGCTAGTCCCTCTCAGGGATTAAAGGGTTAAAGGAAGCAGGTTATTGCCAAAGTTATAACTCTTGCTTAAGCCAATTATTTGAATTATTTGAATATGTGAGTAACATTTGATGTTTTCACATATAACAGGATGATCAAGCTGAAGATGGCCTCAAAAAGAAGTGAACTCCACTGTAACAATTAGGTGACTACTTTGAAAACTTGAGCATTTGTTAAATACACCTTAACTTGCAACTTTGATGATCACAGTTTGCTGAGGTAATTGAAAGGTCAGTCCCCGAGCAGGAACCTTCCACGTAACCTGTACAGTCATAAGTTATAAGATAACTTTAGAAAAATGCATTTTTGTCTGTAGAACTATCGTAAGCACAGTACCACCTAGTGACAAAAGTTAACGATTTCCTGTTATCAGTATGAATGATGCATAGGATTTGATGGTTGTAATGCATATCTCTGAGCTTTCAAACGTTCAACTTTGTGTTAATTGTAACTGTTTACCATATCTATTTCTTTGTACCTTAAGACCTAAAAAGTTGAAGCAGGTGAGTAATTAACCTTACATCCTCTGTTTGGAATTGTGTGATTATATATGTTTGCTGTGAAAGTTTCCACATTGTAACATGTAATATTATTTGGATTATAATAATGATAATAATGATGACTTTACTGGATTACACAATTACTGGTAGAACTGGTAGTTCTCATTGTGGTCCTCAAAAACTTCAAATTCAAATAGCAAAAATACAAAGAAAAAATACAATTAAAAATTGAAAATTAATTTAAAATTTCTGCTTATAGGAAAATTATCAACTCTGGAGTTCCGTTCTATATATTTCTTGTATAGTTGATTTTTAAATTTACAAAGGGAAGTGAGACCCCTAGTAGTACTGTCTTGGTTGTTCCATAATCTAGTGCTACTTGCAAGAAACGAACATTTACTGGTCATGGTGCTAAAAAAAGGTGTGGATAAGTCCATATTAGCTGGTGCCCAGGTTGTGTAATGATGTCTATATTTAACATAACAGATATAATGATTAAAGTAATCAGAACATTTCCCATGGGTAATGTTATGCACAATACACAATTTCCTTTGCTCTATTATGTCACTAATGGGGCTCCAACCTAATCTCTTAAAAAGGCCAACTGCTCTTTCAGTGCCTGCATTTAAAATTACTCTGGCACACCTTTTTTGAATTCTGAAGAGCCTTTGTAAATTATCAATCCTAAGCTTTGATTTAGTGTATGGTGTTTCTTTCCAATGCTCATACTCAAACTAACCATTGACATAAGCAATTGGTTGCAAGATATGTGAGTTTATATTTGAGGGTGGGAAACTGAAAAAGCAAGGATCTTCCGTCAATTAGGACTGAAATTAACGTGGGTCCTCCCATTTTAATTCATGTGTTTACTTTGACCTGCCTCCCCTTTAATGCTAGGGCACTCAGATGATGAGAACATTTTTTGCACATTGATGGATGAAAGTTAAGTTAATTGGCATCCACATAATGTACAGAGCAAGAATATAGATGTCTTGGCTTAAGAAGCTGTAAAATTAAAGGAAGAGAGTAGTGCAAACAATATCTTACCTTTTATCCTTTTCTAGATATTTACTCAAATAACACAGTCACTATCCGTCTCGCTCACTTTCAGTTTCCACTGAGCTTGTGAGTTCTAATTTTTTTAACAAATTTTACATTCTTTTGAATATTCTTAGATCTCATGGTACCAGTTAATATTCATGTATACTACCATATTTGTTCGACTATAAGTTGAGTGATTTTTACACAAATTAAAACTGAAGTGAGTTAAAAGTTGGGATCTAGAGGGGGTCTTGGCTTATAGCAGAAAGTTTTTGAAAAAAATATTTTCCAGTGCTTGGAAACTCTACCAAATTGGGATGTATTTACTTATAAGCCAAGCTTATAAATAAATAGGAATAGGAAAAAGCTCAATGTGTTTTTCCTGCTTCTGTCATTTTAAATATCACTAATCAATCCTACCACCACTGTGTAAGATGTGTACTTTTTCTTGTGGTCATCTATTTTTAGTATCCATCTTTTACCAGCTGACATCTGAGATGAATCAACTCCACACTGGTAATATGACACATTGTAAGCAAACCCTACAAATGATTAAATTCTATTTGATCAAAATAAAATAAAAAATAGAGGAAATTGGCTGGCACAATTCAAGTTTCCCTTCTTAGGTATTCTATGATCATTTCTTCTATCATATGGTAAAGTTTGTAGTTTCCCTCACTTCACTGACCTCTGTTCATCTGTTTGTTTTCCTAACAATCTTAACTATTGTTGCCAACAAATGCAAGGAGCATATAAAATGTGTACAGTTATTAAAGACATCATGTAATCAGTTTTATAAATGTAGAGTATTCCTTGAATATATGATTGTGGTAAGTGCAAGTGCTTAGTAAACATCACTCTATTGTCTTCTACTCTTCCACCTTGGAGGGTGCCTTGTGTACAAAAAAATTTAAGTTCAGTGCCTTTAGTAGCTTTAAATTTTGCCCCAAAGAACAAAGAACAACAACCACACCAAAAAATCTTTTTAAAGACACCAAAAATGTTAGGTACTAGCAACTGACATGTATGAGTGAAGCATGTCAAGCATTAACGTATGATTGTCAATTTGCTTTTTATTACTTACAAACAGCTTATTTCTAGCAGATTTGAAAACTTCTGTATCCCCACTTTCAAAGGAAAGCATTTCCCATGAAAATTTAAACATTAAAGACATAAGCTACCAGCAACAGGTTTTTCCATGGCAAGTGTTTCATAACATCACATTCTCATTGCAACTTTTTGTTACATGTGAAAGCATAAGAACATTTTAATTATTACAGTGTAATGAAATCCACCATTTAACCCTTTAAGTCCCACCAGTGACCTGGAAAGAATTTCCCCCAACAATATCAGTACAATTACAAGCAGACCAGTCATGAGAATAAAGAAAAATATCAGTAAGGGAACTATTAGTTTATCTAATTCCAAATTCTCCAAACTAACATCACATGAATTGTAGGGCCGACAGTAAGGAGAATTACCAATGAAATCTTGGTTGTTTTTGTGCACAGACATGCTATGTTAATATGGTAGTATCCCCCATTGTCGTGGCCACATGAGACACCTGCTGGTCAGGGGAAAAGCCTGATGCTGTGGCTGTAGATCTGTGCCATGATACAATGATTGACTGGTTGATGAGTGGGAAGCAAGATCATTTAACTGCAATTGTGTTTGCAGCTGCCATGATGAGAATGAAGTATTCCAAGCACTGCGTGTGTTGGATTGAGCCAGAATTGAGGGAAATAGTGTTGAATCAAATGACTGGTGGATAGCTGTTTGTGAAATGGGTACAGTGGCACTTGAGGTCGCACCTCAAGTAGCAAATGAAGTCAAACTTGAAGTCGCACTTGTTGTTGCCATGTCTAGAAACGAGGAAGACATAGTTGGGACAAAGTCAATATTTTCTCTTGTTTTTCTTTGCTTCTTTGGACCTTGCTTTTGACCAGATGCTCTTGTGTCAATGTTAATAGCCACCACTGATGAGAGTCCACCCTTGATCCTCTGCCCCTTGAACCATGTCATGAACTTGTCAAGGGCACCTTCAACATATTTGTTTTGGTTTGAAATTTGTGCATGTACAGGTGGCTTTAAAGTTTGTGTTCACTTGAACAAAGTGTGGAATACTCCCTCTTTCAGACATAATGGAGAATGTCCTTATTTTGGAGTCCCTCAAGGGTGCTGGGAAGATGGTGTTTGATTGGGGGAGTATTCTACCAGCTTTCTTCCAGATCCACTCAGGGATGTGGAGATCTAGACTTCCTGTTATGCAATTATGTGGAAGCAATAATTGTAAGGATGTATCTGCTCCAGACAATAGTTGCGTTTTTGTTGACAAGAGGTTGGCATGAGGGGAATTTCCAGCGTAGATATTGTCTATGGATAGGTTATATCTTCTGGACATAATCCTTTCTTTGGCATTTGTTCATAACTCATCCACAGGCACAGGCATTTGTTCAAACTCATCCACAGGCAATTGAAATCTTTTAAATTGCACTTGGAGTTTGTATCTCTCAGAGGCTCCAAATAGGGTTAATATGAGTCTCTTTGTCATCCTCAATCATTTCTTTCACTGCTTTGGCGAATGCTGTTTCACCCACTTCTTCGCCCTGTGTTTTATGTCGAAGTCTGGCACTCATACTTTTGCTGTCATTTGTATAAAATTTGTCTGGTTGAGAACTAAGGCCCGCCTTTGTTTGCACATCCGCAGTCATGCAAATTCTTCATCATGGAGGCCCTTTCCATCATCCAGTCTTGGAATTTAGAATTACTGTCTCCCCTACCTTCCCTTTCTGCCCAAGGCTGTTTCAATGTGAGAACAATTGTATCAAATTCATCTCGAGTAGTCGCATCTAGGAGACCTGGTTAGTAGGTTTGTCCTTCCTGGTTCCTAAATACTTCCAACAGGTATTGTCTGAAGTCTGTTACATGCAAATGGTTTAATTTTAACATCACCTTCGAAGTGACAGAGGCAGCAGAGATAAGTTGCCTTTGTAAAGCAGGTGGATTGTGCCTCGCAAAGGCTGTACTCGCCATCTGTTCCAAACGCTACTAGATCTTCCAGTACCATTACAATGCTCTTCAATTTGTTGAAGCACTATAAGTAAGTTTGCTTAAATTTGTTTGGTGGATGAAAATAGGCCCTATGAAAACAGGACACTTTCTAGTCTTTACAGATTTTGAAAGGACATCTCTATAAGAGGTCGGTGTTATGCTAAAATTTCCAAAATTAAATGTTGGATCAACTGACAAGTGGCTCAAGTCCAGAACTTGTGTGCAGAATTGCGGTAGGTCAGCAAGTTGATTATAGGTTGCCAACAAAAGAGAAGGTTCCAGTCATCTTTGCTGCAATCTTCCGTGTGCAATTGGTTCAATAAATCTCTAAATGTAGTTTGTTCTGGGGTGAAGCCTTTACTCTCTGATTCAGTGTTAGTTTAACAACAGTGTTAAACATGAAACAGGCTAAATGACCTTGTTCTTGTAGAGTGCTGGAGGGCTTAGAGTAATAGAGAGGCTTTTCTACTACTGGAGGTAAATGCATAGGATCACCAACTAATATAATTGACTTTCCACTAAAGAATTGATCGGTTAAATCAGTAGCTTGCCTGCACTTTTTGTCAACCCAGGCAATCATTTTTTGGCCAAACATTGAGTATTCATCAATTATAATGGAACTTGCTTCTTGTAGAGTATTATATAGTCTGAGGCTTTGCCCAGTTAAGTCTTTGTTGCCATTTGCATTGACAGGAAGTGTCAATGCTGAATAGATAGTACAACCATGTATGCTAAATGCAGCTTTGGCAGTTGTGGCAGTCACTACACATGATAGTTGAAGTAGGTTTTTAAGAACATTAATAAGGTAGCTTTTTCCTGTTCCACCACCACCAAAAATTATAAGCAATGGTGGATCCTTTTGATAATGCTGCTCTGAATGCCCCTTAATAATATCATAAGCACACTTCTGCATATCACCAAAAGTAGACATATCTATATTTTGTTCTGTCCTAGTTGTTTAAGTGAATGAATCTTTGTTAGTTTTAATCCATGAAGACATTTCTCTTATTTGATTTTTTTAATATTTAGGTGTGTCTGATTACCAGTTATAATGCGAGTTAACAATTTGCTGTGGTTGATCAGTTGTAACAAATGATCCACGAAGGAGATCTGATAAGAGCATCCATTCTTCATATGCAGGAAGTTCTTGTGTGGTTTCTTTAGCAATTGTGTCATCATCACTGTAATTTTGAACACTTCGTAACTTGTCATGCCAGTCAGGAACATTTTTCTTTTTAGCACAAGGAGTTTCCAGAAATTATTTTCATTTTGTGACATATAATTCATCATTACCTGGCTGATCACCCCAAGTGTTTTGTTGTGTTGTCTGCCAGGGTTTATATGTAAGCAGTTGATATTTACAGTAAGTGAAAAATTTGACCCTTTCTTATTCCAAGAATAAATCGGGAAAACTCTAGATTCAGTATTTTCTGGCTGAGGTGTTAGTTTGTTGTTAGCAGTTTTGTATTTGGGGCAAAATTAAGAAAATTTAAAGTCATTATATCAGGAATACTTTCAACATACATAACACGCTTAGCATAAACATCTAGAAGTGAATTGTAAGTTCCGACATTTCCCCCTGGCAGAATTTGTTTTAATTTTGCAAGAACTATCCAAACTAATGGTAACTACATTAAATGATGAGCTGAGTAGTTTTTGTTTAGTTGCAAAGGAATCGTTTTAATATCTGCCATCAAGTGTTACATCAACTGGCTTGTTATTACAAACGTCCGTCCTTTTAGTTTAAACACTGAAACAAGGCTACTACTAAACAATGCTTATTGTTACAGTTTTAATGACAACAAGTGGTGCATAGTCTCTTGTGCAGAAAAGTCCTTTTGACCAAGTGACTTCATTATCACTTTCTTTTTAAGTTTTGTGGGTCTGCTGGAATTATTACAATTACGAACAAAGGAATTGAAGGCAGTTTTTAAAACAGAGGAGCATGGCTCTCCTTTTGAAGCATACTTTTTGAGGTATTCAACACATGCACGATAATCAATGACTACTTGAATGTCACAGTTAGCTCTCCATCCTTGCAGTTGAAGGTGCTGGTGATTATTTAGCCTGAGATCATTCCTCTTGGTTATCACCTTCACTTTGTATCGAGAAATTGTAGTTTAGAGTTAATGGGTTCAAATTTTAGCTTTGCACTCATGGAAGGTTGAAATGGAAAATGAAATCCACATGTAAAGTCTGATTCATTTTCCTGTTTTCTAAGATAGTAAGTTAAACTACAGGATGTGTGTCATTGTACAGTGTTCAGTAAATCTATATAATCAGTATCAGAGTTTTGAATGTCCTTGTGATGCTGTTGACAAGGATGAACTATTGGTTTTATCCAAGTTCCATTATCAGGTGGATCTGGGTTGTATGTGGATAGCAACCAATCCAAATACTTGCAAATATCATACAAAGCCTTTCTACCATCCTAGATTTGTTCATTGAGTTAAGCTAAATTTGCTGGCTCTGCGCTGTCAGAGATTTCTCAGCTTAATAGCCTTTCAGTGCTCTTTCTGACAGTTTGCTTAATTCTGGATTATTTTTCAGCTTGGCAATGCCAGGGCAATGAATACTTCTCCCAGCTTGGTTTCAACAAATCTATACCAGTGCCACTTGGCATCTAATCAGTTATATAACCAGTACTTAATAAAGTTCTTTAAGTGTTGGGTAAAGAACTAATCAGTGATATGAGTATTGTTTATAATATTCTGACATCTGTTTTCTGGAGTATTGCTGCCATCACTTTTCAAGAGGGCATGTAGTTCAGGCCAGTGCATGTCAGCTGATGAAAAGGTAAAAAAGAATGTTGAGGGTCATACACTGCTTATAGTTGCCTTTGAATTTTCTCTAGCTTTGAACCAGTAAGTATTTGATCCGTTTATGTTGGCAAGGTAGCATGACATTTTGGACAGAGATACATTTGCACTGTTATTGGCTGCCATCTTCTGAAGCTTTTCTATTGTAAGATGTGCTTCTGGATTTTGTTAAAGGAATATTCCTGTTTGCTTTATAATATGTTTTCTTTCAATGATGTTAAAAGCCAAATAAGCAAATTGGGGGTGGGAGGGAAAGCGATAAAAGCATCTGTCATCTCTCTTTTCAGCATATTTTAGGTTCAATTCCTTCTGTAAGCTGCACATCTCAGTAAAGAGCTGGGTTTGTAGGATCACCTTTACCATCAGGAAATGAAGCTGAGAAAGCCAATGTTGCTAGAATGGAGTTGTATACTCATTTATTGGATCATTATGTACTGTTGGCCAGGACGTGGCTTGGTTATAATGTGTGGAAGACAATTGCTGCTGAATAGCTTGAATTTCTTGTTGTTTACAATAGGGACAAGGAAGAAAGCTATTCATTTTTGTTTGTATATTATAAAAAGTGTCTCCTGCATTTTGAGGGCCAAAATTAGGCTGAACAGTTTTGTTATGAACATCTTCTGTCTCAATTGAGATAATATCATGTGGAACACCATGCTCAGGCAAACAATTCAAAGAATGGTGATTGGATTTCACATCTTTATAAAGTGGATTGTTGTTAATGAGCCACAGCAATGCATCAGCAACCTTTCGTCTTCTAACTGATACATTTTTATGAGTAAATGCTTAGCATTTATGAGGCTAGGAGATGTGTGGGTGAAAAAAAGGGCTTGGTCGATTCTGTGAACTTTTTTTCTTTGATGAGCTGCTGACCAGTGGAAAAATCAAAGCGCGCACTATCGCGGGCTCAAATTAGTGTACATAGTTTGAGTGTTGAAGTCGTGCTGAAGTCGTGTTTGAACTGGAAGTGAGTTGACTTCCTTGAGAAATGGCTTTTTTTCTTTGGCTTTAGCTTTTATTCTTGTTTCTTCTTGGATGTATCGACGCTTGGCAGTTTTATATTCATAATGTGTTCTGTTGGCATAAGTGAACCACCGGGCCCACCGAATATAGCAAGGTGCATTCCACTCAAAGGTCACTGCGAAGGTTTGCTAAATGTACGCGACGAGTTTTTAAGGATTATAGGAGAGCTCGCAGAGCGTAGCCCCATAACTATACGAAATAGTAGTAACCCATGAAGCCCAAAAAAATTTGGTTGTACGACCGTACGATCGTACAAGGTGCTACTTTTAGCATGCGCGGCCAACTGTACCACGGGCACTATCTTAGCCATTACGTAATGGAAGGGCGAGGGAGAAGGTAATGCACAGGCGCGATTGCGTGCGTAACTTGGATACCCCATCAGTGTGCACCAAGAGACACCGCCAGATGACGATAAAGTGCGTATACTCGAACGTCGAGCTGCATTGTAGCGTACTGCGAGCACACGGTTAGGCATTGCACCAGGGCTTCACGTGAGCTAGTAACAGTGAAATTTGCCACCCGCGTTTTGAGCGGGGAATCGAACTGGTCAGGATGTAGTTGAGCAGTACTTCTCAGTATTTTGCAATTTCTAAACAACTCGTAAGACAACAATACCAGCAAAGTTTAAGCTTTGTCACCCGGAGGAAATTGATATAATTCAAGTTTGTGGAGAGAGGGTTTAAATTGAAAATAGGCTGGATATAAAGAGACAGAGCGACCAAAGAAAGCAACAAGTAAATGGCGTAAAGCGAGTCCAGAAAATTGTGCAAGAAAGTTACAAAGGACGCCAAAATAGGCGGAATACGGCGAGAGGAACACAAAAGAGAACAATAAAGGGCATAAGTAAAAAGGCGAGTTTCTAGCGAAGAGCAACGCCAGAAGGAAATACGAAGTCGCTTCTGAAAACAGACTGAGAAGAGGTCATCAACGAAGAGAAGCGAACTGCAAAGGATCCGCGAAAGAAGAGAAGTTAAGTCGTGTCCTATCTGGGTTTTCTCTTACGCTAAGACCCAGAAAAAAATTCAAACTTTTTTTTTTTCAATTGTCATTTGATACTAGCTTCAGTTTTGAATTCAACTGATCACGTTTCGGTTAAACATTGACTCTGGCATTCATCACCTAAAAACTCTTACGCCGGTTCATCGCTCGAATAATATTGCATAATGTTCGTATTCTTCAAGTTATTTCTTGTCCTTTCGTTTGAAAGTTTAATACAGTCGTGGTTTTATGGGAAAAGATGTTATCTTACGTATTTTGTTTTGCCTAGAAAGTTTTCAAATGATGTCGAACGGCAAGCGCAAGTTTCTACTTTTTTTTTTCTCTTCAGTTAATTATCGCAGGATTTACTCTGTTCATTTGAAAAATTTGTGCTTTGCCGAAGATGTGTTGTTTTACCCTGAGAACGAAGTAATGGCCTTTCCCAAAATTAAAATAAAATGGGATTGAGTAAGCGATGTTCATGTTTATATTAAGTCTAACGCGTTATTTGATTTTGACGATATTGTCATGTGAGAACCCGTCAAACATCTGAGAATCAAACTACGGACCACAAATGTGTGGTGCTAACAAACTCACGGGTAAAATGGGGATGGTTCTACAGTGGGATGAGTGAATTAAATTGTTTGGTTGTCACAGTTTTCAGCGCTATGTTTTCATGCTTTCTACTCGATTCGTTCGAACTTCAGGAAATGGTTTGTGTCACAAAACATGGAGCCACTTTCTCTTCACTCAACATCTCGAGGCATTATGATAAACATGCTTGCGATACGATATTTTTTTCCTTGTGCTGGAAACTGAAGAATTAATCTCTAAAATTGGTAGACTTCACACTTTGCAAGAAGCGTCCGAGCTGTGATCGTGCAATTAAATGGGGTTATGGCAATTTGACCTCACAAGCACGCTGGTAAGCACATGGTTCGCGTAAATAATTGCCCAGGTTGACAAGATCTTGGTGAAATCATGGCAAGATCTTTGATAAAATCTTGGCAAGACCTTTGGTAAGATCATGTAAGATCTTGGACAAGATCCTGCAAGAAGCTGCAAGATCTTGCTAAGATCTTGACAAGATCTTTCAATGATCTTGGAAAGATATTTTTAAGATCTTGCTAAGATCTTGACAAGGTCTTTTAATGATCTTGTCAAGATCTTGGTAATGATCTGATCAAAATTTTTGTAAAATCATGCAGGATCATGGTAAGATCTTGACAAGATCTTACAATGATATTGGCAAGATTTTTTACTATCTTGCATGGTAAGATCTTAGCAAGATCTTTCAGTGGTCTCAACTTGGCAAGATCTTTTCAGGATCTAGCTTGGAGAACCTGAAACAAAAGTTGCAGGTGCCTGGACGTTCTTACAGGAAAGTTTAATTTGGATGATCTTGCATGATATATATGATAGCCAACATCCAAGCTGGGGAGGTGACAGAAGTTTAATTGATATTTAATTATCAAGATGTACTATAGATTCTCACATCTTACGTTCAGAATTGAATGCACTTAATGGTCAATCTTAATTGCGTAAAAAAAATCCTGTATTCATGGTGGTTTAAGTGAGAGTTGCAAGATAAAGCAGTTAATGTCACACACAAGTTCACTTAGTTTCCTTAATACACTGTTATCTTTATTGATCAAACTCTCTAATATAACTCGATCAGTTCCAGTTGTGAAGCAGCTCTTGAACGGATTTAAAATGCTGATCACATTATTAAAATCTGAAAACTAACATACAATTTTAAAATGTCTTAAAATGCAATGGGCTGGTCATAATAAGCATTTTTCCACTATCAGCCAAATCCAAGAATGAAAACCTAAGCTATCCTTTGGGCAATATCTTGTTATATGTTGCATTTATAGTTTTGAAACCTTAACAAATGCCCTTAACCAAGTGGCTGCACTGCAAAACTGCTCTTCACTCTTTTTGTAGAGGAAAGTTTAAAATTGACAAATTCACTGAGAATTTAAGACAAGAAATGTGAAATGTTTTGTTTAAAGTAACATGTGGGCTTCAAATTTTAAAGGCCCTTTATTGTCGACTGTTGTCAGTGTCATTGGTGCATTTCAATGCTGATCCAGCTTCCTTTCTTGCCACTTCCCTGCACTTTTGATTGCATGCATCGATTATGGCCTGCCTGTACTTTTGTATTTTCTCAGCTGTGTATTGTGCATAGAGAACATTTAGGAAAATGAAACATAATCATCATCACCAACATATCCCAAAAACAAATTAAAGACATGACCAGTTAATTTACTCAAAATACCGATACCTAGTTCAATTATATGTAATTTTATTACACATAACAGTGGATGTACAGTTGACGTCATGATGGGAAAAATGCTAGAAAAAACAATGCCCAAAGCAAATCAACAGATTCCATTTGTCAGTGTGTGTGTGTACACTGATAACATGTGGCGGATGTCAAAACATGGTAAGATTGCATCCTTCATCATGCTACAAGTGCTTTCCCGTGACTCAAAGCATACATGTACTTCTTTGTTACCATGCTTTAACGTCTCCATGTGTTAATCCAGATTGTTGAACCAGATGGAGTCTACAAAAGAAGTGAACAAACATAGCTAACTAAATAGCAATTAAAAATTTTAACAGTGATTTGATACTGATGGTCATCGGAGGATGTAAGTTACAGAATCTGTTCAAACTAAATTTATCGCTTCAAAGGTGCGTCCCTAAGCTATGTAGGGTAATCCTAGACAAAACTTGAGTTGCTGTTTTCAGACTTTTAATCTTATTTTAACAAGAGGTAACAGGCCCTATTAAGTATGTGTAGTGTCTGTGGAGCCACTTGATCATTAGGCTGGGGTCAAACGCCGCACTTCCCATGAGCCGAATCGAATGCTAATGAGGGAGAACAGAGGGTTTTGCTCATTTGAATTTGATTCAGCTCATGTGAAGTACGGCATTTGACCCGGGCCTAAGGGCCTTTAATATTGTCCATGAGAATTGCATATTCGCTGTAAACTTAAGCAAATAAAGAGCTGTACTAAGAAGGCAATATTAAGTGATAGGTATTGAACTAGTACACTGTTTGGGGAACATGTCCCAGCTGGCACGGTGCTGCTGGTCCTGAGTTCTTTTTTTACATGCTCCAGTGATGCTTTGATTTGTTGTACTTCCCGCTCCAGATTAAGTAGTCTTTTCTCCATTTGACCAGTAGTTATGGTGGCTGTAGGAGCAGGTGTGTTGGAGAGTGGCTGCAAGTATATGTAATAAACTCAACAATTAGTTTGAACTTAACCTCTTAGATGAAGTACGCCGATTAAATTGCCAAATCAGTTCATTCTTATTTGAACCCTTTACTCATCCTTAAGCCTCTGGAAATTGCAGTCTTAGTTCACACTTCTCTTAAAAGTTTGGCTTTGGAGACTCTTGCTTATCAATCACCCTCAAAATGTAAATTGTTCGGCTTCCATACAAGAATTGAAGGGGTGGCCAGGTTTATGGATATGACCTGTGTCTATTTCCCAGAGCAGCTTTTCTTTGAATGTAACTGTTTACATCATGTACTTGCCTTCTTCCTAAGGTTTAAGATTATTTTTTCAACTTTTTCCTGTTCAGCTCTTATTGATTCGTCATCACTTTCACTGCTTTTGTCAACAAAGTCTTCTTCAATTAGTCTCTTAAATCGGTTCTTGGGTTGATGATCAGATTGATCCATTTTAGCTGCACAATCCACTGCTCTATTTTCTGTTAGCCCTCTGCCTTTAAACTGTTTTTGCTCCCTTTTATTTGGTAGTAAAAAGTTTTCAATGAGTTTTTTTTTATTAAACATTACTGAATTAAGGGCAGCTCAAAATGTCATTTTTCTAGTTATCAATCTCTTCTTGAAATGTATTTGATATGTAACAAGCACTTCTTTGTGTTCCACTTACGTGACAAGCATGAGTGCATATAATGTGCAGACCACAATGCGTCATTCCTACAAAAACTGATAAAATTTTCATATGATTTCACCAAAGTTTTCCTTACACGAAATAGTACATTTCTTTTGTTTTATCTAATCAAGAGCGATGACGACAAAAAGAAAAACGTGAAGTATTCAGTATAAGAATTATAAGAACTTAAATAGCATCCGAGCCTCACCTACAGTCAGGTGCCCTCTTCCACTTTGACCTGCTTGTGTGTATTGTAATTGGATGACTTTTTCCATCTCCTCTTGGGACCCTTGTGAAGAAAGTTAATAGAATTTGAATATTCATTAAAAATGCTTAAGCCCGCAGTGTAAATGTACACTTTTTTTTGCATTGCCTGGAACTATTGTATTAGCATTCATGAGATTCTGTGTATGTTGTGCCTGTAGCGCTTTGATGAAGTAAAGAACCTTATAATAATGATTATTATACATTGAGCTCGCTATCTCTTTTCTGATGGGCCGAAAGCTTACGGTGAATTTTCGAAATAGCGCCTGCGACGTCATGACTGCAGATTATACAGTAATCATTATGACGGCGGTGCATGATTTCTAAGTTTCGGCTTCGGATGACAACCCCTACCTCGACCTCGATTATTCTGGATATCACAAAAACCTCATCCAATAATTGCTTATAATCCGCTCATTCATCATTGCCGCAATTTTTTTTTCTTTCTGTGTTTCACTCGCCGGTATAGCATCTGGCATAGGGTAGGTCCTCAATATCTAGCAATTCACTTCACAAATAATCAATAAACCACAAAAGCTAAATATTGGTTATTGGCTAACCTTACAAGCCAAAAGAGAATTTTAGTAGATCGGGGTACCTACCCATATTCACCAAATGGCCCATGAAAACCTTGGCGCCATTTTTTTTATTTAAAGCTTGGTGCCTAGTTTTAATTCCTCATCTTTGCAGGAGATTAATTTTCTTTCAACTAATGAATAAGTATTGTCGTCGAAAGAAAACAGAAAATAGTCTCTATCCTGGCCTTTGTTTTCTGTTAAACAAGAAGCAGTGTAGTTGAAGGATGAGCTCCCAAGAAAATAAAGTCACCTAACCTAATGCAATGGTGTTTGAGGAATGAACATACCATGAATGAAAATGAGGGAATTTTTTTAAGGTTTTTGAACCTCAAAAGTATGCAGCACAAGATAGTCTTGCCTTTATTGCTAAATGCTTCTGCATTTCAAATTTGATTGGTGCTTTTTGATCAAATTAATTAAGGTGTACACGGAATTTTCTTACCTTTTTGTGTCTTCCTGATTAAAGTCCTGCACGTCATGGCGAAGAAAAAGTGCCCAGCGTCGGAAAAAAAAAAACAACAAGAAAACTCTTGGGCCACAAGGCTGGGACACGCCCTGTATCGGCTCAGCCAATAAACAGGTGTGAAATTTCCCGCCTTTCTTTTGGCTGTCAATCAAAGTAGTATCATCCAATGAAGTGACCACAAATTACCCGCTTTGCACGCGTAGTTGGCATTGCTCCTCTAGCGATCCTCGAAACGTCAAAACAAGTGAAGATGGAATGGATTCGGACAGCGACGTCAGTGAATTAATAAAACATCAAGAATCTTGTAGCAATGGAATCAAGTGACAGATTTCGAACAGCAGCGACACTACCGATGCTGATGGGTGTCAGAGAAAAACGAGACAACCAAAACTGAGGCGAAGACTGACACGACAAGTGCGTCTTCCTTCATGTAAACATTGCTACGAAGAGGACACCTCGGATGATGACGGGCTCTTTGATTCAATTAAAACAGTTTCAGATTGCAGCAAAATAGTTTCAGCAGCAAAAGATGGGTTTGCATCTTCAAATGAAAGCGAAAGTGGTTTCACAGATCTTCCACGTCCGTATGTGCCGTATATAAACGAAGCGACTAACGATTGGCGATCTCCTTCATCTCAAGATACAGAAAACGAGCAGTTGTCCACTTTTTCGGTTGATAGTGATTGTAGTGGTATACAGAGATCAATGCTGCGGTTGTGAATGAAGAAACAGAAGATCAAACTCGTGCATATCTGTTGTCCAACTCTAGCGGTTCAAACGGTGAAGAACTCGATTCATGCAACGATTCGAGTCGAAACGATAGCAGTTCAGATGATAGTGACAAGGATCCTTTCATTTCGGACGATGGAAGTGATTGCGCAAACGTATTTATGAAGACCATTTACAAAGGATCTAATTTGTCTGTAGGTGCAAGTTGTATTCTCATTACGCAGTTTAGTCGCAAGTACAAGCTTCCCCGTAAAGCTCAGAATGATCTACTCACTTTACTTAAGTTACATTGTCCTGAGGGGGTTGAAATTGCTTTACCCCAAACTTACAAGGAACTGTTAAAAAAGTCTATGCCATCACTAGCCAAAATTGCGAAAGAACGGGTTTGTTCGATTTGCACGAAAAAAATAGAAGGAGATGCCACGGAGTGTGAAGATGGACATCCCGTGGGAAGACCAACTAAAGAGGATTCATACTCCCTGGAGCCACAGCTGAAAATGATTATTGAAGGTAACCTTTTAATCATTATGTTATATGAGGTAGATAGAACTTAACATTACCAGAAAGTAATCAATTCCTGCGCCTATGAATTTTTGACCTGTCAATGGCTCGCGGCAGGCATGACAACACAGTTTGAATGTGAGGCTCGATCACGATTTAATATACAGCGGAGCCCCTCTATTTTGTATTCATAGAAGAGAACACTGATTTTTCAGTATAACCAAAAACTGATGTGGAAAGGTCAGTTTCAGTGTAACAAACTCAACTGCGGGGCCAATCCAAACATTATTGACCAATGCACAACATTGGAGTCTGGCTTTGATCGTTCATAAGCCAATCCAAAAAGAGAATTATCTCTACAATTCAAAGTGTTGGCGGGTCCGGCTGAGTTCATTGCACTTTAAAAAGATAATCGGTGGCTGTTTGAGAGAGTGGACGCTGTAAGCAAACAAAGCATGCAAGCCATGGGTGTGAGCCATACCAAAGTTCTTACCATGCTACAGAAATACAGCCAATCAGATTGCAGGAAAGCTGTTGTATATTCATCAGAATTTCCCCAAACCTTCCCATCTGTCACTGAATTGATTGTGTAAAGCTATTATGACATGGTATAAAATAGGTATGCATGACTCTCTCACGATATACTATAAAGTAGCCCACTTGTCACTTGTAATTTCTTTGCATACTTGTAGCTGAAGGCTTGTGTGTATACAAAGAAAATACAAGTGACTTGTGGGATATTCCAAATTATATGAGGTTACTCTGCATACCTAATGTCAGCATCATGAAGTGTCCCAAACCATTTATATTCCATGGAAACATCTTATCCGCGTTTACCTCTTGAGCTTTCAATGTTGCTTCACATCTCCTCGTCACATTACATCTTCGTGTATAGGTCACAAAGTGTCCTGTGAAATGATACAAAATTTTTCACTTAAACTGCCTTTGTCTTGACAGAAATTATTCTTGCACCCTTATTACTTTAACAAGCTCCAGTCATAAATATTTAATCAGTTAATTAGTTTATCAATTGAATCATCTATCGTGTCAAGGTATCATTCTGTGTTTAGATAAAAGAGAAAATAGATCAAAAGTTTTTCCTTTTTGTTTTATTCTCAGGTCCAAATGTGATTGCTTTTCAGAGAACTTCTCAGAAAATTTTGGAGCTTGCAGAAAGCAAGTCCTGGAATGCACTGAAGAAGCAAGCTCTTATAAAGACATCACAAATGGAACCTTATACAATAATTTTTACAAGGAAGTATACAGTGAAAGTGGAGATAGAACATGTTGTCACTTAAGTTTGATGATTAGTACTCATAGAGCTCCGGTGTTCAAGTCCATTCAGTGCTCTATTTGGCCACTATATCTGTGTATTTTAGAGCTTCCATCACAGAAAAGGTTCCTCTATTAATATTTTCCTATATTCCTGCTACTGTGATGCACACAACCTTTTATTACATGTACAATCATGTACAGTAGGTAGTTGATGGTCATTTCCATTGTCAGCAGATAAATTTATATGTGGAGTAGTGGCCATATTTTTTCACAGCATACATGCAATTAACCAATTTGTTTCCAAAACTGTACAGAAATTTTAAACTTGAAAGATAAATTATGCCTTGAGCAGGATTTGAACCCACTTTCACTGAAACCTAGCCAGGTATGATCAACACTGCACTACCAGGACAAGCAACAATTATTGCTAGCAAAATTATAACTGATTTTAGCAGTGAATGGGAGTAATATATCGTAATGGAATTCTGAGCTCAGCTGCGCTGTTATGAAGCTGGATTAACATGTGTTTCACAGGCCAACAAGGGCAAACAACACAAATAATAGACACGTTAATTACTTCTCTTGAGCCGTGTTGGCAAAAGAAATATTGTTGGCTCAAGACAATTCATTAATTTGTTATTACATTGTCAATGTATATAATGGAATGTATAATTCATGTTCTCCGCCTCTCCATCTTTTAGTGATACTTCTTATTATTATATGATCAGATATTCGGTGAAGAATGTTCTTCTCATTGGGCTTTGGTATGGTGTAAAGAAACCCAAAATCAATTCCTTTTTGGAAGCATTTCTTTGCAAAATTGGAATGCTGGAGACTGAAGGTAAACATTCCAAAAGTAGTTTTTGGCTCAACTTTATTTTGCTCTTAGAACACAAACTGCTTATCAATCCAGAGAGCTTTTATCGTTTACACTCCTACGTTAAAAAAAAATACAGAATCGAGGTCAGGAAAAAAGGGAATCAATAACAGTAAGTTAAAGGTTAATCTGGAAACTCCATTTAGATTGGCAAATAATATTTTTTGTACATATTCATAATCATCAATAACAATTTGTTGTTCCCACGGAAATTACTGGAGTGATGAAAAGTACAGCAGCATCACAGTTCTTATCTTTCAGGTCTTCTTGTATACAACAAATGGGAAGATGAATTCATAACTTTCAAAGTGCATCTGCACTGCTGCATATGTGACCTGCCAGGAAAAACCCTTGTCTTCCTACACAAGCTTTATAATGGTTTGTTTGGTTGTATGGTATTTATTCATTTCTAATAATTAGAAATTATTGCGACTTTACATGTACACTTTTTCCTGCATTACATCTGAAGGGACAATTTCTGCTGCTTTGTTCATATATGTTATTATTACATGTAATTTGTATAGCTACTCATATTGTAATATGTGTTTTGCTGCATGCATTCTGAAAGGTCTGTTTTCACCCTGG